TCATGTCATTTATCTTGCCTACTGACGACAAGGATACTGCAAATTTAAGACTCCGTTGGGTTAGGAAAACTAAAAATTCTATGAAAGGATTTCTAGTTTAAGAAAAAAAAAAAAAAAAAAACTAAAAATATATTCATACAATTTCATAAAAACACAAACACCACACTAATAAAAATGTACAAGCTGACTTCCGTGTCAAAGAAAGTCTATTTTCAGAGAGAATTTTAGGACAGGATGCAAGTACTGAGGATTCATATCTAGTCTCTGATCCCAATATTTAGATGTGTGATAATTTCATAGCTATTAAGTAAAAACCATACCAGGAAGCCATCATGCGCTTGGCCATTTAGCCACACTAAAAAATATTTAATTGACATATGCTCAGAAGCTTCTGTCCAGGAATATATACTAGGACCTTGTGACATGGCTCAATGCCTAAACCTCCACTGGAATGTCATTTTAAGAAGCCAGCTTTTTGGCTATGACAAGTGTTTATGGGCTTTATAAAATTTACAGAAGACAGACAGACACATGGCCAGTGTTTAATGCAACATATAGCCTCAAACCATAATACAAACTAGCTATAAAAAGGGAAAAATATTTGCTGTTTGAAGCACAGGGCCCACAATGCTAAGGGCCAATGTTGCACAAAGGAATGCCATTTAGAAATTTGTAGCATGAATTATCACTCCAGTTACACTATGATGGAAAATATACTATAAAAGCAGACCGACCATGCAGTTCGATGCCATCATGGGAGCAACGCTGCTCAATGTTAGACGCTCATGTAACACTTGACATCTTTGGCAAAGCTTGTGCTCTAGGGCTGTGCTGAAGGAATATCATTTAGTACCCAGAAACATCACATTCACATTTAGGCGTTTAAGAGAAAAAAAAACAAAATATTGTAACAATCAGACCAAGTCAGACCTAACTCCAGTGCTTAAGACCATCTACAAACTACACTCAATATAACCAGCAGGTAACTGAATGCTGTAAACTCAGTCAGCTGTCTATACCTTTATGTTAGGTTCTACACTTCCTGATTACTTTTACTTAACTGGATTGCTGGAAAGCAGTATTTCACAGTTAAAAAAAAAAAAAAAAAAAAAATGAAAAATGGTCTTTTTTTTTTTTTTTAAGTCAAGCACACTTGTTAAATGAAATGCCAGATAGACAAGATGGCAAGTGATTTCAGTTTAGCACAGGCATAAATGCATCCCATTACACACATCCCCCGAGATGTGCAAAAGTTCACACAATACCTTCCCAAACTGAAATAATGTAACATAACTATGACATTACTTGTGGGGCCTTGTTATTGGACATGGCCCTTACAGAATTTGAAAAAGTCTGGACTTTTACACTCTTAGGAGGTTTAGGATTGGGGCCAGTGTTGACAGGCTTTGGACTTGTGTTGATGGTATCAGTTGGAGATGCTTTGTATAGGAATGCAACACTCAATACAGATCCATTCCAGTCATTGACAAGTATATTATTAATGCCAGCTTACAGTTTACACAGTCTATGGCACAGTTTGTCAAAGACTTAAGAATCATTGCATTTGTTTCATCTCCAGACTACAGCAGAGCAAAAAAAAGAGCAATTTGCTCATTGTACTTTAAGCTACAATATAAATTTACCCTTTCCAAGATTGTGATTTTATACACAATTCTAAAACCCCAAAAAAAGTACTCAATTTGACAAAACTGTTGAACAGTAAAAAGTTAGAAATGGCAAGCAAGTTAGCCTAAGTAGGAGGAAGCTAAATTCAAGGGATTGCAGCCATGAAAATCTGCATATAAAACTGCTACCAGGCCTGGCTGCAATTAAAAGACAAATTGGCAACCTAATTCTTAAAACCTCTAATCTACAAAGCTAAACATGCCAATATTTTGGTAATCTGTATTGTTCCAGGATTTGGTATAAAAAGCATCACAATGGTAACCTGTAAAAAATTGTGGGACACTAAAGATTCAATTTCAACAAGTGCAACAGACATTAAGTTTTTTTTTTTTTTTTTTTACAAACCAAGTGAAGTACTCCAAATAGTGTAAACTTTTTACTGAACCACCTGTAAACATTTACCATTTTTTAAAACTTCAAAAGTTAAGGTGACCATATACATGAGATAACTAGGCAGTTTGTGCCAATAAACTAGTCTCCAATGTCCATGGCCAGCTTTAATAATAAAGTTTGAAAAATATTTAATTGGCACCATAAAAAGTTAGTCGGCACATTGGTATTTGTCATGAATTGTAAACATGTGGTAGTGGTCTAGCTATAGTGATGCTTCCTAAATCCAGGCAGTTAATTGAAAAAAAAAACAAAAAAAAAAAAAAAAAAAAAACCTGAAATAAGGCAACCAGTGAGAGTCAAGATTTTGCTCTTCTTTTTTAAGACAGGCCTTTTAGACATGAAGAAATTAGAAAGGCTTTCTTGGTTTGGCACGAAGTGTTAAAGAGGAGGTTCAACTATTTTAAACCCACCATAAGGTTATATAAAACAGTTCTGGGAAACATCAATTTTCATGACTGAGGCAACAGGTCAGCATAAAATCCTTTGTTACAGCTTGACAAAGAATGTAGAGCTCAAAGCCGGCCAGTGAAGTTAACAAACATAACGTGCAAGATATCCATGTTAACATCAACTGAAACCACCTCCAAAAGATAGGAACCATTACTTTGCTTGGGCTCATTGGCAGCACAGTTCCTGGGACTGTGCCAGTAGTGTGAGACTATAGAGGCTTGCAAGTTTTGGCATTAAATGGCAGAGCCAACCTGAAGTTTTGACTTCACACCTCATGCTAACAATTCTAAAAGGACAGTTTAAACTGTTCCAAGGATAAATTTTTCACAATATGGCCAAAATGTTAATGCAGAGGCTACGAAGCAGTTTGACAAGTGCCTGAAAAGCGTGCTTCAAAATCTGCAGGTTAACCATTTTATGCAACTCAGTAGTCCTTTACCTTTTTCTGCCAATTTGTCCCAACACTGGCTAGCCAATTAGGACCCAGTGCTGCATGTAAAACATGCCACTTCTAGGATTATGTAGCCCTTACCGCCAGTTTTAGACAGAAAAAAAAAAAAAAAAAAGTGTCTGAAAACCACTGACTGTATGCACCCAGTCAAAAAATCTTTATAATGGGGAGGGGTTGCAGGACCCATAGATGCAGTACATGGTGTTTATCCATTTGGCTGATGTGGAAACTGTTGGGGAAAAGTATGGGTACAAAAGAGTACAGCAGGATGCACAGCAACTAGGCAGCAGTACATATGGGCTAGCTCAGCCAGTGCTGAAACATGTTTGATGGAAAGGTGTAAAGCAACCATTTTTGGCAAGTGAATAAGCGTTACAAAAGTTAAATTTAGTTGTGAGGTAATGTTTTAAAATTTTGTAAAGCAGAGTAATTTTGGCAGTACATTCAAACTGAAAAACACGAGTACAGCAGCCACTAAAAGCTTTGCTGTTTAACCTTTTGTCCCATGAGGTTCATCCAGCCACTGAGGTGCATAGGATACTTCAGGTTAATCCATTCACTTTTACTCCTGGAGCAACTTAGATTTAATGTGTTCATATCCAAATGTTCAAACTCTGGATCTTTAACATGAGCTGGACAGATACCAGCATTAAATCTATTATCTCCACTAGTTTTCCTAAATATGTGTTATGTTGGCACATAGGCAAGAGTAATGCTAGGAAATTCCAAAGAACTACCAAGGATTTTACAGGAAAGTGCCCCCCCCCCCCCCCCCCCCCCAAAAAAAAAAAAAATTGTTCCAAGGTTCAACTTGATTAAAACAGATACTTCAATTTTTTGGTAGATGCTGGAGGTAAACCATGTGAATGGTCAAGTCTTGCAGTTCTTGAATTCCTGTGTATGCACTCCTGCTATAGGCCCCTCCTTTCCTGTTGTATTTTTCTAATTAAATGCCAACAGGCGAACATAGGGCATGCAAAAGGTAAGCAGGAACATGAAGAATCAGATTTATGGCAAGGAGATACATTTGACCAAGACATGGAATCTAGAAGCCAACTGCCAAAACTTAACCAAATATCAGCCAAAGCCTTTTAAAATGGTTTTAAATACAGCAAAGGTGGTTAGAGCTCCCTGGCCAGGCTTGTGTCATTTGTTTCCCCATTGGGAGATTTCCCCTTACTCTGTCAGGGAAGAAAGGGATAAGAACTATCCAAGGGGGAACACAAATTCCAGTTTTAACCTTCACAGTAATGAATCTGTTTTTACTTTGTACTTGTCCCGAATACCACACCCAGCACCTATTAACAGGTATCACAGGGTCAGGAAATTAAGTACAATCTTCACATTGAGGACACAAAACCTGACAATTAAAATACTTCACTCTAGTTTAAAACCACACTTCTAGGTGCATCTTATCAAATGTTCATTGTTTTGACAAGCATCGCTGTATTCTACTTAGACAATATTTGAAAGTTTGTGGCACTAAACTGACCATATGTAAAATTACAAAACTGCAAAGGAAAAAGAGTAATTGAAATACAAAGTACATTTATTTAACAAAACATCAGTAACCACAGTTTGTACGAATAGTTGAGCGTTAACATTATGAACCATCTTAGTTAATGTGCCTGATGGTGGAAATAGACATTTTACTTGCCCTCAGCAAGACTGCAACCCAATATCTGGAATGTTGTGTAAAGACTTAAAGGGAGTACAATGAAAATTCTCCTTTTCTGCAAAGAAAAAAAAACTGCAGCAGACTAAAATCAAAACCAATTCCCTACAGTTTGTCTTTATAGACTTTAAAGTGAGATTTCTCAACATGTAACATCCCCAGGTGCATGGCAAGATTGTTGGAAGTATAACCCACTCACACCCAAATGCTCTTGTAGCACCTAAAGGCAAGTGAGCAGGTATATAGGCATTTTACAGGAGGGCTCAGACATTCTTCCCCAAACACACACACTAGAACAGTTTCACAATCTGCAGGACTCAGCGCTTGCTCCTGCATCTCATCCCTTTAGTTTTCTTCCTTTTTTGCTTCCTCTTTTGGCACTTCAGGGACCAGGATCACTTTGCCAACATTTTTCTTCTCCTGCATTTGTCTCATGGCATCTGCCACCTGCAAATGAACCAGATAATTTTACAAAGATAAGATTTAAAAAAACAAACAAAAAAAAAAAAACTTCAAAATTAGGGATGTCAAACTCATTTATGTGGCTGTAGGATTGGTCCAGTGCTGCAGCTGTCCCCTGCTGGCTTGCAGACATTCACATGACTGCTAATCTGTTACTTCTCTGCTTGGTCAAGACTGACTTGACAGTCACCAGCTATCTGCTCTGCCACTCTGGCGCACCGGGCTGTGGAGACAGCTGGCTCAGGCCCTCAGTGAAGTGCTGAGAGGCTGAGCCAGCTGCCTGTCAGGCATCTGGATATATCAAGACAATGTCTGTCTGGATCTATCCAGAGACTGAAGCAGCTCTGATGTCAGCTGACAGTGGGCTTTATCGCGCTGTCAGCTGAATCTGACCCAGAAGTATGGCCAAAAAAAAGAAAAAAAAGCCAAACTTCAGTTAAAATACCCAGTCTCCAGCTTACAAAAATTGCAGCTAAAGCATAAAATTAAAAAAAAAATAATAATTTTATGCTTTAGCTGCAATTTTTGTAAGCTGGAGACTGGGTATTTTAACTGAAGTTCGGTTTTTTTTTTTTTGTTTTTTTTTTTTTTTTTTAAAAACCTGTGCAGTGTATTCCCTCCTATAAGGCTTTCAATTGTATTGTGTCTTTGAACTGCCTAGAGAATTTGCCAATCACAACCTCCTCTACATGTTGTAAGCCCTCTCCTTCTGCAAGTCTCTGCACTGGCTCAGTATCTCTGCCTCTAACGTCACCTCCCAACATGAGGTTTTGTGTAGCCGTTTGCTGGTGGAGCAAAGGGGAACACTAAAATGCCATGTATTTTCAGGTTCATAACCATATTGGATTATATGCACATTTATATAGAAAGGGGCTCCAAGTACTCTTTGAAGTTCATCCTCCCAAAAGGAAAAAACATTAATCCAACCGCATAAAAAGTTGCCTAGTCTGTGGGGCTCCAGAGAACTTCACCATGCAGCCTTTAGACAATTTTCCCAGCCAGCTTGATCAACTCTTTACTGCATTTGCAGACAGGTGTTACTTTAAAGTCAATAGAAGCTGGTGGAGCATTATGACCAACTGGTAAAATGTGTTAAGACAGCACATTTTTGCACTGATCACTAAGTTGGTGGCACTGGGGATGTCAGTGACCCCAAGTCAGTCCCCCCCCAGAAAGGAGCATATGTTGATTGGAAAACCATGCATTAAGCCAGGGGTGGGCAACTGTGGCCCTCCAGCTGTTGTAGAACTACAAGTCCCATGAGGCATTGCAAAACTGACAGTTACAAGCATGACCCCCAAAGGCAGAGGCATGATGGGACTTGTAGTTCACCAACAGCTGAAGGGCCACAGTTGCCCACCCCTGCATGAAGCCATAACATCAGGCTTACAAGAGCCTGGAGTTCAGAAATACTCTGAAACCTCCTGTAACACCATGTCCTCTTCAATCCCCTGAGGAACAGACGATTGGATACAGAGGTCAAGGGAAGCCATGACTGACAAGTGGAGGCGGATATAAAGATTCTGCAACATATGCTCTACATTTCTATCTGAAGCCCATAACTTTTAAATTGCATATACACTTCTATGTTAGTATGCAATTGTTTGCCAAAGCTATTTTGAGTCTTATGCAAATAGAGTTTTACTAAGTGCACCTCTTAATCCTTAATATTGAGTTGCACAATGTAAAATGTCACTCTAAAGTTCTCATTTTTAAGATTGAGAATGGCTTTCAGTTTTGTATTCCAAAACCTTATGCTTCTGTTCAGAGCCAAGGAAAAAGACAGTTCACAAACTAGGCTGCTTCTGGAAGAATCTGGGTGGAATCAGCCAGCGTTCCCATAGAATGAGGAAAGTGTCCCTGTAGTCAAGACATCTGGAGAATGACTTTTCTTTGGCGCAGTTACCAGATGTCAGTACAGAGGGAAGCAATAAAGATAAGTCTTTAAGAGATGCGACTGAACAGAGCAGGATTCTAGCCTTCCTTTTGAAGTTTTCCAGAGGAAGCACAATTCTGGCATGGCATTTGCTGTATGCCATGGCACTGAATGTACCATTTCCTCTAACATACTAGATTAGATCAGTTTTACAATCCAGTCAAAAATATGGTTTCAAAATTGTTTGTTTATAGCACAAAAAAATGCAGAGATGATCAAATACAATCAAAAGAAAGCAGTGACAAATTTCAAGTACAGCACTGCATGACCGTGCAATTGTCAGTTAAAGTAATGCAATGCCATATCACAAAAAAAAAAATGGCCTGGTCATGAAGGGATGCAACTCTTCCATAGGGCAAGTGGAAAAGCAAAAAAGCCAAAGCAGTAAGCAGATCTATAGACATGATTTTAATGACTGTTAGAGTTTGCTTGTTTAGTTTGAAAGTCAACAATTTTCATGGTTTTGGTTTTTTTTTTTTTTTTTTTTTTTTTTACCAAGACTGTCCCAGATGGTGTGCAGGTGCAGCAAGATCCTAACTACAGCTGCCTTGAGGTTTTCAAGCTGCCTTACATTCATAGGCTTCACCTTCCTGTGTATATCAGAGCACTCTGCTCTTTGTAAAGGATCAGTACACTGCTACTTGGATTGATGTATCTGCTCCCAGGTTACCCTGCATTATCCCTTTGTGAAATCAGGTTGGCTGAAGGTAGAGGTTTGCCCGGCTGTTAACATGAATCACGTCTTACAAGCAATCACTTGGGAATATACATACTTGGTAAGGGTGAACACAAGACCAGTTCATCCAGGAGTGACAGTGACTTTTCCATTCGCCTATAAATTGTGTCAGCTAGGAAACAAATTTAAAAAGTTTTGAACATCTCTACACTCTCCATTGACAAACTGGGAAGGGAGTGCAACATCCTTGCTGCCCCAACAGTAAAAAAAAAAAAAATATATCAATTCTTCATAAAAAAAAAGGTCTGGCTTCAGACACTAGCAGAGGACTCCGTGTGGTAGGCTTATAGGGAACACCCATGGGACATGTCCTTTGGAGCACTGCCAGTGTCCAATCACCTAAAAAAGGTACATGCTTATAACTCGTGTATGGATACACTGTCCTGTACGATTAGGATATTGTGATGCCTAGGTGAACCAGATATTTCATCATTTACTCTAAAGTAATCCACATACCTGCTCAAAAGGATAGATGCTGTCAATTTTGGGCTTGATCTTCTCTTGCTTGTAAAGGTCAAGCAGTTTAACCACAACTTCTGTTATCAGCTCTGTTTCAGTATCCAAGTGGCCTAGATGGAATCCGCACACAGCTTTGTTTGATGGAATAAGCTGCAGAGCATTTATGCTGAACTGGTTCCACCAAGTCTTTGCTAAGGCAACAAGGTTCTTTTTTTGTCCAGTCAACAAGTTGGCAGCGCCTGTAAAATAAGTTTTAGCATGTTATCTATAGACTAGGGCTACACAATACATTAAATGACATGTGCCCATCACAGTAGGGTTTATGCACATAAACGGTGGCTTATCTATAGCAATTATAATGCAAGATTTTAGTGTAGAGTACAAAAATTAGGCAAACAATTATTTTCCTCAAGATACATTGCACTTAAATCACTTGCTCCTGATATATCTACTAGTTCAGGATAAAGTAACTGGCATCACAACTGAATGCCATTTCAAATGTATAAAAAGTTTGACTGCAGACCAGTTTAATATTGTACACTAAGCAGGTCAAAAACAAGGGTTGATGTTAGGAAAAGCCGGCAGGCTGGGTACCTCCAATTTTCTGCCTAAATCTGTATACAAACACTCCACCCTGTATCTGAAAAGGAGAAAAGCATACATGAACTTTACTTTGCACTTGCGTACCATTTAGGCTGCCATGTATATGATCGTGGCTTCATTAGTATCACCAAGCCTCTTATGTGCCATACAATATAGCAAGTTCTGCACTCTGCTATGGGACCAGTACTGGGAAAAAATGCCATCAGTCTCAGGCATATCTAGAATCAAGACTAGGTCTCAATCCACTAGGCCTTGCGGCCCTCCTTGCTTCTCGTAAGAAGTAGAATCTGCAAGGCTTGGGCAAACTGTTTTAGCCAACTGCAGGCCTCCAACTTTAGATATTCATGTCCCCCAGAAGACTTACTGCAGCCAGTCTTCAATTTGGTACTGAGCTCTTCATAAATGGCACTAATCCCAGTTTAAAATCAAAGACATTGTAAAACGTGACCAATGACAATTTGACATCTGAACTTGTTTTGGTGATAGCCTTATCTTTTTAAAACTGGCAGTCTAATGGATTGTCACCAAGACATTTCTAAGCAAGTAACATTGCAGGTAAAGATCTGAAAGCTTTCCTGAATCAGCTTTCATGGCCAAATCCAGAGCACTGAAATAGTGTATCTGTTGATACTAGGCAGCAAGTGTCAAAACGCAAAAAGGCTTGACTGTTGTACACATTGCTTTGTATATTTACTACCTCTAGCAGCCAAGTACGTATTCCCATTTGGGGTCGTGTGCATACACCCACTGAGCCACTACTGCATGCACAAAAAAAAAAAAAAGTTACTAGCGACCATTTTGCTTAAAATATGGGCAGATAAAATACTTACAGCCCTCAGACTGGCTGTACAAGCAGTTTTCCTGGCCTGCATGCTTAGATATGATCTGAGATTAGAGATTAGTTTGAGAAGGCCTTCTAGAGCCATGTGGTCCATCATGTGACCAAACTAAGAAAACCCCAGAAATAGCACCTGCAACATTGCTGATCCCATGCTACACTGTCATGCATTTGATTTTTACCTTATGGATCTCTGGTTTTTTTAAAAATGTATTATAGCATAGAAAAGTAAAAACATGTAAGAATAAAGTAATTTCACATCGTGTGTTTGTGATCTTTTAATCTAGATTTTGCTGCAGGGAGCATCCAAAGTGAGGACACTGCTTTCAAAAAAAGGCCCCAGGAGACAAGTGTGGAAGCAGCTGTTTAGAATCACTGCCATTACAGGTGCTTTGTGGAAAATCTGCAAAAGGATTATATAAAAAAAAAAACTGTACAATCTCCAGCTACCTTTTTAGCATATGTGATGCTAGAGCAGACGGGACTGCAGATATTCCAAATATATTAGTGCGGTTATGAGCTTCAAGTCTACGTTTGTGGCCAAAAATATTGGCACCCCTGCATAATTCACCACTTTGCCCTGAAGATTGTTGCAATTACAAAAAGGTTTATGCATGGTCATGTTTGCATTGGTACGACGAGAAAAGACAAATCTGACGTTCCACACAAAACTCCAAAAATGGACTAAACAAAAAATTAGTGCACTCAAAATTGTAAAATTGCATTTTACGTTTGATGCTCCTGTAATTTTGTAATTAAACTCACCTGTATCAATTAACCGGTGCTGACAACATAGAAATCACACTGGCAACCAGTTAAAATAGTGAAAAATTGACTCAACCTTTGTGTGCCAGATGGAGCATGGAGAAGAGAAACAGCAAAGAATGAGGATTTCAAAACAAAAATTGTGGAAAAGCATGGGCAATCTCAAGGTTACAAGTCCATCTCTAGAGATCTTAATGTTCCTGTATCCACTGTGCACAATATTGTCAAGACGTTTACAGCCCATGGCACTGTAGCCAATCTCCCTGGATGTGGATGAAAGATTGATCTAAGATTGCAACAACGAATTGTTCAAATGGGGGATAAAGAACCTAGACTTCTAGGAAAAAATTCAAGGGGACCTTCAGGCACAGGGTACAACTGTCAGCTCTCTACATTGCCATCCGAAATAAAAAAAAAAAAAAAAAAAAAAAAAAAAAAAGGATGCTATGGTAGGAGACCCAGGATGATCAAACTGCTGGCACAGAGACTTAGAAAAGTCAAATTGGAGTTTGCCAATACATGCCTAAGTCAATCCTTTTGGGAGAACGTGCTGTGGACAGAAAACCAAAAGTTACAGCTTTTGTTAAAGTCCATCATTTTGTTTATTCTTTAAAAGCCTCATTGCTTTTTCTTTACAGTCCCTACAGTCAAGGTCCAGTTTTAGATGCAAAATTCTATTCACAAGTTCAGGTCAATGCTAATGCAACTAACTGACTTCATGCCGTGCTCCTCTAAACAGACCCCTGATTTGAGACAAAGACACCATCTATAGCTCTGACCAGCATTATCCAAATTTTAATACAATTTAAAACATTTACTTACAAGCAAGTCTGTATATTACATACACACCATCTGTAAGCTTTGGGGTACACACCCTAATGCCATAAGCTTTGTACACCTATGTGTATATAAAACAAAACCCTGCTGTGTAAGGTGGCCATACCAGGCTGAAGATGGCATTATCCATTTAACTCCAAGGCAAGATTCAAGCAAGTTATGTTAACAGGCACATACCAATGCCAAAAACGTAGCCTGGGAACCTAGGCTTTAAATACTGGTATAAAGAATTTTGCCTATATACTTACCATATATTACCAGTTTTCCCATAGGTTTCAGCAGGTTGTAGGCTTTACAAGTGTCAGAACCTCCCAGGGGATCCATCACTATGTCTACACCTGGGGAGAGAAAAAAAAATTGAAAAAATGAAGAGCACATTGGCAACCTAGCCTTGTAGCTGCAATCAAAATTGCAAAATCATAAAATTTAATTGACTTAAAGCAGGGTTCCAGTGAAAATAAAGTCAGCAGCTACAGTTTTTGTAGTTGCTGACTATCTTTACTGGAACCCTGCTTTAAGTCGATGAAAAAGTGAAGCAAAATTAGCTTTGGCATAGCAAGAGGAAACTATCAACTGGGTCAGTTTTCTGACCTGCCCAGTTAACTGTGCCCCCTCCCACACACAGCAGCACTTGCAAGTATTTATGAGGAACAGAGGTCTTCTGTCATTGGGTACCTTTAGGGCATAAGAAAGCATGTTCACAACATCAGAAACTTTTGCCAAATCATTTGTGTGAATATCAAAAAATTTCACCTTTGACAAGGTCAGCCATTTGCAACCAGGGTTCCACTGAACCTTAGGATTTCTCCAGGAAGCTGCTAGGGGTTCCCTCAGCTGTGGCTAATTGACCTACAATTTCATAGTGCCTGCATAGTTCCAGGACACCACTTGGCACAATGACCTTTTTAGCTGTTTGCAGGATGGGCATTCTGACCACCACTGTAAGGAGGCATTCAACTGACCTGGTTTTAGAAGGGATTACCTGAAATTTGTAGGTTTCCCCTGCTAAAAAAAAAAAAAAAAAAAAAGTTGAGAACAGTTTGCCTAGGGCAAGATTTAAGTTAGGTTATGTAACCCATAAACCTTTATGGTTTTAAAAACAGCATGCTGGTGTGGCCCAGTGAAAACTATTAAATGTTAAGGCTTCTGGTTATTAGCACCATCCATGGAGAAACAAGTCTGTTATAGAACAGACTCACTAGCCCACAGGTGTCAAACTAGCCATCAGGGGCCAGAGGTGGTCTTATGTTGGAGGGTGACTCTGCACAGTGAGTCACAGCAATATCTGGGTAGAGTCCTCCCTGTGTGTTCTCATCAGCAGGTGCTGTCACATAAATGCTGGGGGATGACTTTGGTAACTTCTGGCTGTACTGTATGCAACAGATTAGAGCATGGGTGTCAAACTGGCGGCCCTCCAGCTGTTGCCAAACTACAAGTCCCATGAGGCATTGAAAGATTGCCTTTGGAAATCATGCTTGTAACAGTCAGAGGCATGGATGGGACTTGTAGTTTTGCAACAGCTGGAGTTTTGACAGTTTGACACCCCTGCACTAAACTTTGTCATAAGGATTCCCACAGGTCAATATATCCAAATTGAATGTACAATCTGAAGAGAACATGAATGAGTCCATATAAAAGCAAGCATTAGGCTACCTTTAGGAGCAGGGCTTAATGACAGTCCACAAAACCAGGGAAAAAAAAAAAAAAAAAAAAAAAAAAAAAAGATGGCATACAGCTTGTATTGGCAGAAAAAAAAAAAAACAAACAAACTGTATAGCCTTTATAATGTTCAGGTCATGGTTTTAAAGAGTACATCTTGGAGTGAAGCTCCACATTGGAGTGGTGTGAATCACTGGATCTTACAGAGATACATTTAAAAGTTTTTATTTAGCTCTTGGAGACTGACTTCACTATGACGATTGTGTGTGGAGCTGTACTAGATTTTTTGATGTACTTTATTAAAGAGCTAGCACTGCACTTATGGATATTGTACCTTTAGGAGAGATTTTTTTAAGTTCATCCACATAATCGCTCGTCCTGTAGTCAATTGGGTGAGTCACGCCATGTTCTTTAAGTGCTTCATGCTTGGCAGAAGAAGCTGTTCCAAATATTGTAACATCCTCCACAGTTTTACAGAGCTGTATTGCTGCAGTGCCAACACCACCTATGAAATAAAATATTACATAAGACCAACACTGGCAGGCGATGCCCATACCTTTAAATCCAATACTTAGATTTAGACTGAATATGGATGTATGAGAGTTGTGCAAAACTTTGACAGAAAGTATGTTTGCAAGGTACATATTACAGCAAGGCGTGTACAGCAAAACATTACAGCAGTTTTTCAAATATACTGTTCAACAACCATAATTACCTGTAATTAAAAGATTCAGGTATCAAAGCCCACTGTGTACAAGGTAGCTCATACATTATCCTAAATCTGCCTCAGCTCACATTTTAGAGGAGCAAGACCACCAATGGGAACCAGCCAATCCTACCATATTGTCAAGGATCTGAGGTAAGTTATGGTGTGGATCCATCAATTTCTCCCTTATGAAAGCCACTGGCAATCCAAGTTTGTTTTGTAGGATTACATGATAGCCAGTGTCTTGCTATTGGCTTTCAGGCAATATAGAGAAGATAGAGAACAGGTGGCGCACACACCTAGTGCATTATCCAAGGTTTATTGTAGGAGTGAAATAAAAACCATACTCAGACGAAGCATGTATCTAAAAAAGCATAGAAAAATGACAATGGCCACAACGGCAGGCAAGGTGTTCACTGTCAGTGCGGTCAAATGGTTGACGCGTTTCGGGGACGAATCCCTTTCCTCAGAGCTGATGACCAACCTCTGATGCATGATGAATGGAAAGTAAGAGCCTTGCTGTTGATCTATGCTTTTTAGATACATGCTTCATCTGTGAGTATGTTTTTAATATTCTCACTCCTACAATAAACCTTGGATAATGCACTAGGTGTGTGCGCCACCTGTTTTCTCTATCCAGTGGCTGATTTCCCCTTCTGAGGAGGGCTGCACCCCTGAAGCATTTCCTTTGGTTGTCGCTGTCCTGGTACCCTTTGCTCCCTTTTTAGCTGTGCATATCCTGAGGCGCTGGAGAGTACATACGATATCCAATATAGAGAAGACCCTGCACTACTACAAATAGTTTGACACATCTGTGTCTAAGGTGTCCAACAAGGGATGGTCCTTTGCATAGACAACCTGTAGGAAGGATATCCTCCCACATTAGTGTACTGTAGCATGGCATTTAAAAGCTTGTTGTTACCCCAAGAAGCTTGTGTATTTCCATTACTTTTTTTTTTAGCAATACTCTGTCCAGAAAGCACGTTTATCCTAATCAAATACAGGAGCAGCCAGCTGAGGCGCTTGTGACCGTACCCTGGTGCGATTCATATTTGGTGTAGCCTGTGCTAGTGATTTTATAATCTGAAGATTCTGGTTATCTGGAAAGGAAAGGTATCTCCATCTGGAGGTGGTTGGACAAAAAAAAAAAAAAAAAAAAAAAAAAAAAAAAAACACCCACACACATGGCACTGCCATTTTTTTCAGAAAAGATTCTATGCCGGTCCTAGTGGAGCCCTGAAATTCTTTTGGGAGCAACTTTCATTTTCACACAAGATTGTTTATATTGTCCCCCTAGTGGGGCCCCAAATATCCCTTTGGGAGCGTACTCCTATTATATCTTTGTATGTTTTATACTGAACATAAATTTTTCAAAATGTATTGGTGGTTTTAATAACCAATGATATATTTGCACCACTGTCTTGTGATTTTTCTGGTTAGAGGTTTTGCACACCATTTAGTGTCTTTGCCTGGCTTTGGTAGGACAGTGGCCTTATTCATGGAGGGGGAGTAAACTCCCTGTTTTAGATGCCTTGTGGAATAGAAGGTTATGTTCCCTCATGGAATGCTTAATGGTTCTGCTAAGCCTTTTGGGCATAACTTAGACATACAACGGTATAACCATCCATACCTGGTGACTTGCTAGGTGTCTGGGCCAATGCTAGAGAAAATTGCTTCTATCAGGACAGAGTATAACGTGATCAGCCACTTCGCAAGGGAACACCTACAAATTAACAATTCCCCACAGTCTGGAAACACCTTCAGGTACAGCGTTCTGTATAGAATTTGTAAGATCTGGAAAATCTCAGTGTGGGTATTTTTTTTATATTACTTCATATCTGAAATCTTAGCAATAGTTACAAGATGTAGCTATTTAGATAAGAAATGGCCTGCATTCTCACTCAAATTTGTGTCGCAATAAGAATTTGTTCATGTAGTCAGCAGCACCAAGCCATGAAGTGTTGATCAACAGGGAGCGCCTATTTTCAATGTATGTTTATTGGATCACTCACTTTTTGGGGTAAAATTAAATTCCTCAGTACCTCACTTCATAGTTTAGCACAGAAAAATAGAGTTGCTTTATCCAAAATGGGATATCACCATATGTAGGGATTTCATGATTAACATCTGCTGGATATATGACTCGTTCCACACATCAAAAACCATCAATCTTACAAAAAGATCTACACATCTCATCAATCTGCACCTGTATGAATGAGAACTTCACCATATGAGAGGAGAATACCAAAGCCTCTAGAAAAAAGGCTGAATAAGTGGAATAGTATTGAAAACTACAGGTGTGGAGCTAGAGAAATTAGTCTGGCTTCAAAATGTATTTCCTGTATACAATGCCATACTGCTTTATATTAAATAATCGCTGATAGTTTAAACTTGTGCTCTCCTGGAATGTTAGGAAGAAGCGACATAACCACTTAGTCAAAACTACCCCACTATGCTACCAGGAGATCTGTACCTTTAGGGCAGAGCTCAGTCCAAAAGGTTGTCTTTGAACTAAAAGCAGTACAGTGCTGGGGCAGAGTAGCAACTGTCCAGTTGTATAGATCCCCAACTGGGGGAGGCTGCTATGAAGTGGGCCATTAGATAGTGAAAGTGTCAAGAAAATACTAGGAGTAGCAACTGAATAGAACCTTAAATTGATATTAAAAGTTTTTGAACAGAGCAGCCCCAATCCTCTCGGGTTCCCCACTGGTACTCCTGGCTCTCCCCCATGATCAGTGGTTTGTGCTCACTCCAGCTGCCGTCTCAGCCAATGAGGGGAGTGCCCATGGACTGCCAAGGCTCCTATGCACTTTGCTGGATCAAGAGGGGGCTTTGATAAGTATTTGGGGGGCTGAGGGAACAGCAACAAGTCTTTCATGCATAGAATGCATGAAGGGTAAAAATCTTCAGCCTTTACAACCACTTTATTGGCCAAACATAGCCAACAAGTAATATACATTCAACACTGTCCTTGAAAGACCATCTGTTTGGGGGTCAAACATCTCGCCAAAAAAGACCTTTTCTGAATTGCCAGGTTTTCCAAAAACATAGGTAGCACTGTGCTACCGGGATATAGAACGGCCTTCCCAAAGCTTGCTACTAACTCCTTGAGTAGGTTGAGCAATTAACCTGCTGATGGTGCTTTAAGCAGTTCCATATGATCCAGCCAATGCATTGTGATGGTAAGATGAACAAAGAGTATTGCCTTGTGCATCTACCTGAAGCTTAGCATGTTGAATGTTCAGCAGCTGAAGGCTGGAGAAGTCAGGAAATAACATGGAAATTGATTAATTTTTTTGCCGTTTATGGCTCTGGCTTGCCAGGACAACATCTATAGTTCAGGAGCAAGCCTGGCAGTGGGGGTCTACCACCCTATGGGCATGTTGCAGCACAAACAGGCAAGAACAAGTCTTGACAAAATTTGTTCACAAGACAGGATTCTGTAAAAAATAAGATGAACGAATTTGGTACATTACAGCTCACTGAAAATGCATTTTGTCTGAAAAGAACCTTAAAAGCAATGTTTTTAATGTCTGAGGTACAGTTCTTGCTTCTCATGCTTAACCCCTTGTCAATGGCACCTCCCTGCCGCTAAGGGGTGACACTGGGAAGTGGGGCAGGGTTTAGGGTCACGTGACTGGCCATCACATGATTGGAATACTCCTGATCTTAAGTAGCAATTGGGACCTTTCTGTAAGGTGCTGGTAAATGTGCTCTCAGCACATGTTGATTTACATTGGGTACACAAAATATGGCCTCTTTGAGGCAAGGCCCAACCGCTGAGAGGCTGCATATTTGTACTGTTGGCGCCAAGGAGTTAAACTTGTACTGTTGATTGGGAACTGGTGATGTTTATACATGCATATGTCTTGGAGGTACAGGTTTTGCTCCTCAGGCTTAAACTACCTGTATTGCACTTGCTCAAGTTTATTAAAACCTGTATGTAAACCTCACATGTTCTGTGAAATTTGAGCTTTCACAACAAGCAAATAAAGTTTTGTTTCATATTGTCTTAAGTTAGTTCTTAATTACAAAGAAAGTCATTTTTCATTTGGTGGGAAAAACCCTCAACACTAAAAATGGGCTTCAGTAATTTGTATGATTGTACTTGAGATATTTGTACTTATCCTTTGTCTTAAAAGTGGTATCGGTGCATCCCTAGTACAAAAATGATAGTCAGAACCAGAGTCAAGGAAAACTTCCAGAGAGATCCCAATTGAACACCAAGGTCACGTTACATCAGTGTCACTTTCAGCAAAAGTTCAGATGGTGTGATCAAAAAGGAGGAAGTCCTGGGATGACTCCAGATGAAAGCCAGACTGAAGCTGCCGAAATGCAGATATAAGCCACAGTGCTTGGACAGATGAAGCTTTTTAGCATGTCAAAACAGTTTTGTCAAGACAAAACTAGGATTTCAAAAGAAAAGAATATCCACTTTAAGACCAGGCCTTTGACACAGTTTCAAAGTAAAAATCATATTTTTCTAGAAAATTACCTAGAACCCCTAAATTTTGGTCAGATGCTGTAGAGAATAAGGGAATAGATTTTGCAATATAGAAAAATCACCCGCAGATAAGATACTGGCATAATGCCTACAGCTACAGGCATCAGCCCAGTACAGGCTTGTGAATTGCAACGTGCATGCACATTAGCTGGTCCACACGTAGATATTGTACTGTGAAACACTGAGGCTAGGTTTGAGGTTACCACCATGATTAAGCCCGGGGGGTGTAGCCTGGCTGAAGCAGTCTTTAATTTACCTTTCAGGCCAGGTTGGTGTACAGCAGTGCTTCTCCCTT